TTTTTTTTTTTTTTTTTTTTTTTATCTCTTCTAATATAATAATATTAAAAAAGGTGAAAGGGGAAACCAATACATTATACAAAAACTAAATAGTAAATATAAATGGAGTAGAGTTCATGAATTCATTTCGAGTATCTCCGCTTAATTTGAGTCATGGGGTTTGATTACGAATGTCTTCAATTCATTGAATTGATACTAATATCGATGGAAAAATGTTGGTTTCCTTTTACCCCGACAGAGTTGCCTTCATTCTCTTTTTTAATCGGATACACGTTCTTTCTCTCTCTACAATTGAGTGATGAAAGGTTGGGAAGGAATGCAAAACCATTTCCCCCAGTATATAGATTAGCCATGGACCATGGAACAGGATTTATTGGGTAAATATCATTTCTTTTTTGGCCCACTTTGCATGTTGTCTGTGTGGGTCTACCAATACCAATAGACACATAATTGGAAGAATGACAAGATCAAATTATAATTAATCTCTTTCAACGAACGAACATCCTTGTTTGTGGGCCTTAAATGCCTTGTAATTGAGTTCCATCATTAAACATAACGAATGCCGTGGGTTACCTTTCCATTGTTGAGAAGCCGATCCAAAACTTTTCTAAAGCAAACTCAATAAATCTGGTAAGACATGGAAGTCAACTAACTATGTTAACCTTTCCATTGTGATAAAGTTATTCTAATTATCGTTTATTCAAGTCACACTCAAGAAATTTATCCCACTTCAGGATCCTGAATTTAAGGGATTACTTGATTCGTATATCTTTTGGTATCCGGGAAACAGTTCAATCGATTCTTTTACACAATTTTTTACATAATTTTTCACGTACAAAAGTTTCTGCCTGGACTTTTATACCTCGTTTTTTTAATGACACTACATTAACCATAATAAAATGTATTAATTAAGTTGCTAACGAGCGAGTCTTCAGGAAAACCCTTGGTCGGAGGTATAGTGGCAATATTGTACATCAACGCAACCATTAGTTTAACACTCAATACGTGCAGAAAAAATAAAACATGCACAAGAAAACCAGTGATGTGATAACGACAATAAGTGTTTGAAAAGAATTATATATATTCATTCCTCTCATTTTTCTTTATTAAAATCAACGGCACATCTTACTTTTTATGGGGTGTGTATGTGTCTTAACTATTTAAAATGCTTTCAACTGTAGTGAAAAACAAAGTAGGAATTAACATAATGTGTCGATCCGTGATTGCAACAGGATGTCAGCCAGAAGAGCAATCATCAAGGACAAAGATAGGTGGATGAGACATCTCATAATTGATCCAATTAGCCCACTTGTCAGGTTCCCCCCTCAAACCCTGCCTAAAAGGGAAAGGGAAAGGGAAATGAAGGAGGAGAGGCAGAAAGAGATATGATAGAAAAACTAGAAGGGAGAAAAAGAAACCAAATCCCTGATTTTCTTACCAAACTTTCACACCAAAAGTGTAGCAATGAGTAAACCCGAAGGTGAAGAGTAGTGATGGGAAAAGAAAAGAGACTGCAGCCAGAGGGCAGATTCAGAGGGTAAGGTAAGGGTATGGAGAGCTTTGATGGGCCCACTTAGAGAGCTAGGTGACGTCATCCCAGTGCTAAATGGAGAATTTTAAGCCATTGGAAATCAGAAATGAGGAATCAATTTGCTACTGTTGGGATTCTGCCTTAAGATTTTTCACAAGGGCCATCATATTTACGTGGGAGGTAAGGTATGGTGCCACTGAATGATGGTGTGCTGCTATTTGACATTGGTGGGTATGATGGGTGGGTGAGTGGGTGGACTTGACTTGACTTGATAGATAACACAGCCAAAGACATAAGCCCACTCCTCTAATTAAGCAACACAAACCACATGCTACTCACTTCCACATCTGGCTAGTGGTGACACACATCTCAATATATATTATACGAATCCTGCTATTTTAAAGTAGGCATGTATGTTTTTTTTTTTGGATATCAAAGTAAGCATGTATGTAAAATGCAAGAATGATTCTACATCCTTCGAAAAATATAACGAATACATTAAAAAAAAATTATATTTAAATTATTACTTGATATACATTGTCAGAATATATATCGGACAAAATTTTCGGAAGATGAATCATTAGTGAATATTACATATATATGCATAACAAATTATGATTGTATCAATATCATCAACCACTAAAATTACTTATACTACTCTTTCTTATTTTGGAGAAGCCAAATCCATATTATTATTACATATACAAATATAGATTTGCTGCTACAGAGTACAGACTACAGCCTACAGCACTTTGTGTGATCATTCCCGGGGGGATAAGACCTAATATTTTAAATTTTGCTTCCATGCAAATTTTCAGCTCTGATGCATTTATTTCTGTAATGACAAGCTGCTCCTCATGAGCGTTTTAACATGCGGATGAAAACCAAGTAAAAACGAGTAAGCTGAAGACAAGAATAAATTTGGGCATGTCAACAGGCCATGGTCCCCCCTCCCGGTTGTGGACAGACCTGTTTGTCATGGTCTGTTGTGTGCAGTTGTAAGTTTTCGCAAACAATAAACTACACGCAATGAAATAAAAGGGGAAGAGAAAACGTTCACAACGTAACTGACTAGGGTAAAATGTTTAAACAAAGATGGGTGCGAACATGGAGAATAAAGACCATAAACTAAAAAGGAGACAAGGATATCCATAAAAAGCAAGCAAGTAAAACAGTACATCACTCAAGGCAATGAAGTACGGTTCACATTGAATGCTGTTTAAGTGTGCTATAAATTATAAATTGTGTATTTCACAACTTCTAGGTTCTCTAATAACGGGGAGGGGGCAATGAGTGAAATAGCTTTGGTCCACTTGAGTTGATTGATTTCCACCACTGAACCTCTCTATTTAAAGTCTAAAACTCCGCCTAGTACACGTTGCACATGTTATTTTCTTGTGCCTTTTATTATATCCCTATCCCCTCCGGTTAAAGGCTAAGGTGACACGGATCCAAGGTGGATAAGAATTCCAAATTTCGAGTACAACACTTGAGGTATTATCAGGTGAAGAAAGACAGATTCACTGACTGATGTTTTAGCTGTCGTACAATTAACAGCTTGTATAGATGACAAGCAGGGGTTGAGGAAATGAGGATGTGACCCCGTCAGAGAAGTGCTGTTGATCATATGATTCATCACAAAGAATTACCAAAACACGAGTACAAGTGCTTGCCCTTGTCTCTCAAGAGGAAGAAAAAACAGAATAATTCAACTTTTTGAGGGTCTAGATTAAGAGAGAAGAGAACACTGTGTTTAAATAGTGGCTTCAAAAAATCATTTTAGCTTTCAATCAGCGTGATCGATACAAGTTTCATACAAGTTAATGCAAAATAATTGTGCAAAAGAACGACAGAGTGCAGAATACCTTTATGAGTAATCAAATAGTGAGTCATGTGATTATTAGGGGCCCATAAAGATTTGCACAAGAGGCCCATTGAGCTCCTTCTTGAGAAGGCGTCCAATCTCTCTCTCAATGGCTAAATGGCTCTGCAAGTGGGAGGCACCTCAGATTGTGTGGTGTTTATCATTGGCCTACACATAATGGCCAATCAAAGAAATGAAAGGCTTTGACCTGCAGATGTGATACAGTTATACATCAATAGTAATACAATAAAGATGACATTAAATGAAAAAATAGGGGAGAAATACTATATGTGTATCTCTTATGCCACCTGACATCCTTAGAATAAAGAACACCAATGGGAATGAGATTTCTTCTTGAAGAATAAAGCACCGTATTTATATCAGCAATCTCGCTTTGCATCTCAGTAACCTCAGCATCAGGTTTCAACATATGTCCTACCAAAAACAAAATTAGTTAATCATAAAGAAGCGCTCCTTCCTGCATCCTTTCAAATGAAAAGCTCATCTACACAAAAAAAAATTGAAAAGCTCATCAGCATTATCCTGACAAATTGATTCTCACTGCAGAATAGCAAAATATATGTCAACTGTGTAGATTATAACCCTCAATGTCATAATACAGCTGATCCAAAATGTACTTCAAAAGATTCCTAGCAAACTTTAGCTATGAGGCAAGACTGAGAATATAATCCCTACCTATAATGTTACAATAAAGATAAACGCATGACTCTTACCGGAAATAGTAAGAACTATTCCTCCATAATTCAGACCAAGACTGTAGATGCAATCTTCATAAGGAAACGGACCAATATAGCAGGCTTATCACTCGAAAGATGGAGTAAATAATATTGTGGGGCCTTAATTTTGTCTTATCTTTCACACATAATGCAAGTCTTTTCGGTCATCTCAATCTCCACAATGAAGCCAAAACTATTCAACCTGGCATCTCATGACCCAATTTGTCTGCCACATACATTTTCAAATAAATAAATAAATAATGGCATCCCGCAGTAGAAGGGCTAACTGATTGCATCATACTGATAATTCCTCCCACCTGTTGCATGAAAATCTTGTAGGATGCCAGAGTAATTCTACCTAGAAGAAATGATAACATGATCCCCACTATATAGCATTATCCAAGGATACAATATGATCCAACCCGGAAACAATCATATGGAAAGCTCGCCTTATATAATCTTTTAGCAAATGCATTCACATATCTCCAAGTGAACAAAAAAATGCAATAGTGACATTTAAATGAATGAAATGCGTGTAGTGATTATTTTTCTAAGAATCCTTAAGAAGAAATGGGGAGGATCAAATTAAAGAACTCCACCACCACCACCCTACCCAAGAGTCTTCCACAGGATAGATGTGACCAAGCTCAACCACAAGTTATAAGAAGTTGAAATCATAACTTCAAGTGATTACTCACAAATTGTAAAATTTTGAAATCATAATTTGACGTGATTACTTGCAAATTGTTAAATTTGCAATTATTATTAAGTTTCACCTGCATTCATCTGTCCTCAAATAAAGACATGAAATTCAGTATGTAGCTTTGAGATTGTGGAACTAATAAGAGTCCTGTGTCACCAGCAATTATTCAAACTGTATCTTTAAGGGAAATATAAATAATAATAGATAATACATCATTCCTGTAGCTGTTAAACAACCTGGCACCAACATATGCTGATGCTACCATTTGCAAAATAAACATACCACTAATATCACCAACAAGCACACAAAATTAAAAACTTGGAAACGAAATTTGCAAAAACAAAATTCAGAACTACCACCGGATATTTAGTATCCAAAATCCAAAATGCACTTATTTTGGAATACTTGATAATATCTGTTCAGTGCAATGTACACTAAAACTCTTTAACTCAAGATGACTGTCACTAATTTCTGCAAATCTTCGTGCCTGAGTCTAAATGACTAGTGGGTCTGCAAGAAAAAAAAATAACACCCTGCCTCCTACAACTACAAGTAAGTTCAACTTGATTTTTTTGGTAGATCAGCATCTCCTTGAGTTTTGGAATCTTCCTTCTTTTCCATTACTTGCTGAACTCCCTCTTGGTACCCTTCAATGAAACTTTTAAGAGCATCTCTGTATGCAGAGGCTCTGGTCATGTACACACGCTGCAAAGCAGGTCTGAGAGTCTCCATTCCGCCTCTAGCAGCTACAGCTGTAAATTTTCCAGTAAAAAAGAAGAAGCATATGCTTGGTCAAAAGTCAAAATCACCTTCACAAACTCATTCAAAGCAATGGTAGGAAATCATAACCGAAAAAAAAGGATGGCAGGCAAACTAAAAATAAAAAAGAAAGGAGAGGCTGATTATGAATGGCAAAAAATAGAAAGAACAGAAAATTCTACTTAATACTGAATACGCAAGGGGTGGCATTCTACATGGTGAAAAAGTCTTTGACTAATTGTTCATGTTCATCATGAGTTTTTTTCCGAAGCATTTTTGACTCGATATTCAGCAGCATCCTAATTGCTTTCTTTTGACCAAGTAATTCACACAACTACATGAGTAAACACCAAAGAGTATAGGTATATCACAACTAATCTTCAAAAATTCACGGTGACAAGCATCATTGTACTCTGACCATAACAACCTTAATTCTGACAAGTGAATAGATAGCCATTAATTTCAATTGTCAAACAGCATAATGATATTAAACTAGAGAAAAAGACAGTACCCAGATCCTCCAATGTTGAGGGTTCTTTTCCTTTAGTTGTTTTCTTTTCTCCATCTGTTTCAACAGTCATTTCATCCTTCTTATAATCATCTGGCCGAAGATCAGGACCAATGTCACGAACCCAGCTTGCAGCATAAAGCCTGGAAGCTCTCTTCAAAACCTGAAGATTGAATGTTTCAGCACAATGTAAATTACTAATAGCCAAGTGGCAAGTGACATCCCTTCAATTAATTAAAGTTCAATATCTCCAATTTACACCTTTATCAAAAAACAACATCGATAATAAACTATAAAAGCATGTGAACCACAGAATTGAAGATTTTCCCCTAATGATTACTAACAGGCATGGCGTTTTGAAGGTAAAAGTGTATTCAATTGAGTTAAAGCGCAAAAAGGATTACACGGAAAAGGCATAAGCATTAGTGAAAAGGGGCATACCCAGATACGCTCGTCCCAGGTCAATTTGCGGCGCTTTTTGATGTTGGGAGGGTCAGGCAAAGACGAAGGGAAAGCGATTTCTTTGAGATCATAGCGTACGTAGTCGTAAATTTTTCTGCACACAACCCTCACTTTCATTTGCGAGTTCCTACCTCCAAAATGCCAAAACAGTTGCTAGCAACTATCAACTAGAGCACAAAACTAGCAGAGTGAATCAAATTAATCACTCTCTCTCTCTCTAGCACAAAACTAACATCTTTAATTTGTATCAAAGAACATTTTATGTAACTTTATAAATTTTATTTTTAGTCCATAATAATTAAAATAAAATACTTTTAACTATTAAAACTAAGGATGTTATTTTTAATGAAATGATCAACTTGAAATATAAATAAATAAATATATATATATATATATATATTTTATTAATTTTAAATTTATCAATCAATTTATCAAATTTTCAACAATCGATTTGATATAAAATTAATATTTTAACTTAT